TGGCCCATGCTCACCCCCACCCACGGTTGGCCTTACAGGTCGATCTACCTCATCGCGCCCCAACACTTTGGGTCGAGTTACCATTTCGCGCGCCAGGGTAGAGGGTCGAGCCTCTAAGCCCTGTGCTTCCAGTCTCGTCGTCATTGCCCTTCTCGGAGGTGAAATTGGCGCTAGTCTAGCCTCCACCGCCGCCGCTATCATTCTTTCCAACGCGCTGGGCGTGACTTGTATGGGCTGCTCCGGGATGAAAAACTGAGTATTCACGCCGGCTTCCTCCGCCGCCCCTCCTTGGAGTTGCAGTTCCTCTCCGCTTACCTCTTGGAGTGGTAAGCTCGCACTTGGTCTCGTCAGTGTTTGCATCGTGCCCACTTGTGTTGGGCTATTCGTTGTTGTCTTCAACTGCTCCGGCGGCCGCCTAACAGCAGGGGCTGGACTCGCCGGCGTGTCTCCACACAATACCCACCCCGGCGGCGGCCCAGCCCTTACAGGGCGCTTGTGCAACCAAGAGTTGTCTTCTTCATGTTGTTCATGCTCTCTTTCTCCCACCATCTTCTTCAATTCTTGCTCCTCCGCTTGCTTTCCGGTTGTGATGTATGAGATACCACCAGATCAACGTCGGTTGAGCTAGGGTTCCCCACAGACGGCGCCAAATTTGATATGGTCCGAGATCGGTGGCTTTGGACTTGCGGAAGGTTCTTCCCGGTTATGATGTTGGTTCACTTGATTCGGTCCGGTCCGAGCTTCAGTGTTCTCCGGTACCTGAAAGCGCGCCGGAATTTCTCCGGCGCAAGCCCTCCGACGCCCAAGTTAGGATCTCGGATTTTTAGAGAGAGAATTCAATGTAATAAATGTGGTATTAATGATATTAAATGAGATCTTACCCCTGTACCTGTGACACATAACACATATATATAGTACTTAGTTGTACGGACTCCCTCTAAGCCATTAAGTCCCCGGCTATCTATCGACCAAATGTGATTCGGTCGATGTCGGGCTATATGGGTCGACACTCAATCCCTTTCGCCCTTTACTGCGTGACTGCCCCTGGACTCGACCTGCTCGACCACTTGAGTCGGTTGAGCCTCCATCGGCCCGCTCCCGTGTTCGACCATTATTGTGGATCGAACATATCGACCAAGGGTCGATCGTGCTTCGCCAATGTTCGACCATTATACATTTAGGCCATTAAAACACTAGACCAGTAGACCGGTGGACCAATAGACCATTAGACCAGTAGACCATTGGACCAGTAGACCCTTAGACCAGTAGACCAGTGGACCAATAGACCAGTAGACCAGTGGACCAATAGACCATTGGACCAGTAGACCCTTAGACCAGTAGACCAGTGGACCAATAGACCATTGGACCAGTAAGTAAAGTCTAATGACCGAGTAGGCAAGTAGGCTTTCTTGTCCTCCATCTCACGGGTCTTTGTCCGGTTAGGCCGAGTCGGTATTATAATCCCTATCAGAAGGAAACAAAAGAATGGAAGTGAAAAATGCAATCGGCCATGTTCGTGTAAAATCTTGGCTCCATGTCTGGCATCAAGGCCTCGACCCTTGTGCAAAATTATCAAGACTGATGGACTTCCAACTGTTCATAGGGAAGGTGGATGCACCTGAATATCTGCAATGTCTTCCCACAGGAAATAAAATCTAGTTTTGTGTCCAAACAAGTTCGCGTAGAATGCAACTATTCGGGCACAAAGGAAAAGGCGACCCTGCAGAAATTAAATTGTGGTGGTCGCAAATCAATGCATAAGCAAACTGTATCAAATATAATAAGAAAAGCAAATACAAACTGAAATGTTTCACAAAATTCTTTATGTCGATATAGCAACCTGCAATGACATCTTTCTTTTCAACGAGCATGAGAAATTCTTCAGCAGCATATAGTTGCGGAAATGAAAATCCTACCCGATATTGGGAGTGTTTGCTAAAGTTCTGCTTTAAGCAGAAACAAAAAGTAGTTGAGAATCAGATGTCGATGGTGCTTGCAAATAGAATCCCGACGAAAGAGAGGGTTTGGTGACTAGAAGTTTTGTAATGCATCCATCACAGACATCAAACTCCATTATTTTGTAATGCTTCGTATGTATGCCTTAGAATGTTAGAAGCATCAGAAGCAAAAGTTTGCACCTGAATAAGAAAATTCTTTGTATTCCCAGTCAAAACCTGACAATCACTATTTTTAAGTGGTTGCAGAAAGCCAAACACTACAATAGGATCCAATAAAAATAAATAAATAAACAAAGAAAACGACGAAGTACAATTCCACCGAGGATCAAGAGTTTGGAGCTCGACTGAGCTAGTTCTTGTCTTGCCATTGCAAGTAAATACAACATAAGGATCCGGAATTTCAGTTGCATTCATCAAAGCTAAATTTGTCCCCTCAATCAAAGCTACAGTAAGCACCCATCCATCACCATGTGCTTTGACCCCATGATCACTTCCTGCCATAACATTGCAGCAAATCTAAGACACCATAATACATTGCAAAAACAAGGAAAAAAAAAAAAAAATACATTCCAATTTTTGCACAAGCCCAACTAAATGGTTATTACCTCTTCGTAATCGAGCCTCCACAAAGTGTGAAATCATGAAATATACGCGTTCCAACTGAAGAACCACATGTGATAACTTCTCCAAAACTGTCGGGTTAATCAAGTCCTTGAAATTCCAACCCTTGCAGCTTGTTAGATTTACATAGAAATATGTGAACGGCGACATATAACAACATACAAACGGTCGAGAGCACTGTGAAATTCCAGAAATAATGCACCGCTAGTTCTCGAATCGGATTCTTGCTCGGTCTCCATAGTCACCAACACCTGTTCTTTGTCCGAACTAGCTTTGACAACTTTTTTGAGACAACAAGGCTGAGAATTGATCGAAACTTTCTTTCAGTCCCTGCTTTACCCCACTCTCGATCACCCCTTTCATCATCGTGCTTTGACTAAAGTTGACAGAAAAAGACACGACAAGACGAGCCAACTGGTTCTCGGATGATAACATAACACCTGGCATTATCTTATAAAGCAATTGTACTTTGAAAGTGTTTCCATACGGGACATCTGCTGTGCTCACACTAACAAGAACGGCAAATTCATTATCGTATGCCTTAACATATGTTTGCTCCTCGGTGGCTCTAATGGCCTTCACTAATTTGGTTGCTGCTTTTATATATGTAACAACTCTTCTCATACCTTCCGATTCCCATTTCCAAGGGCCTTCTTGCAATTCAGTCGTCCCTTACAAGTCAGCTAAATTCATCTTGAACTCGGAATCGGGAGCAAATATAACCATATTTAGATCCATTGGTGAAACCTCGTATGTCTGGTCGATTAGGATGCCACCTTGGAGATTATCAGGCATATGTACGTTTTCATTCTTGGATTGCAAGAGCTCCATCAATTCCTGGAAACTGGAGGAGCTGGGAAGCTCCATTTGACAATCTTCGTAATCGGATGGAGTAGATAACTCTGATGGACTTTCATTACGGGATGTTTCATCCTTTTTGTACAGGAATTTTTCCAAACGGCCAGCGAGTGCCTTCATCAAATGTTTCCCATCAAGTGTCTTTTTGGATGTAGAATCAGGTGCATGAACTTGGGTATCATGAGATGGACCGATTTTACCTTCTGAATACAACGAATGACTAGCTTCAGCTGGATTGTGATCTTTTCCATGCAGGGATAGAGCAGAAGAAGTTTCCATACATTGGTAGCATAAAAGTTCCGTAACTCGTATTCCATGACTATACCCTAACCATATATGGTGAGAACATTTCAAGAACAACAAATATATAGTAACATAAGACCTTAGTGAACCTGCATGTTTTGAATTCTATAGCTAAGCTGTACACAAGGAAGTTAAAGGAGCGTTCGTATTAAGAACACCCTTCTCATATAAACATGTCATTTTTTCTCTTCACTCACTTGAGATGTTATCTCTATCCACCCTTCTCAGTTCTCATATTAACATGGCATCTCGCAACTCGCAGCTGAACTCGCAGCTGACATGTTATCTCTATTGTTAGTACTTTCAAACTAATTACAGGTTGCTTATGTGATTATTCTTTAAATCTCCATTTGCGAGGCCAGATTTTTGGACGATGGTGTGACGTAGGCTGAACACATTTTGTCTGGGGGGCGTTTTTTGTATTCTCAGGCAAATCGATGCTGTAAGATGTGTTTGTGTATATACCTTCATTGTCCTTTTGGATATGCTTGATAACTTGTGTTTTTGTTGTAGTCTATTTTGTTTTGCTACAGTACTTGACGGGCTGATGAGCTCGAAAGAGAGCTTCTGCTGTTACTCTTCATATTTTTCGGGTATTTTAGTTACCTTAATTGGGTTTTGATCAAAGCCCGACCGAGCTTCTGCTGTTACTCTCTCAAACATTTCTGCTGTTACTCTTCATTATTATTATTATTTG